GTAAAAGCAAATGGATATGATTTTAGAAACGGTCAGACATTTCAGGTAGCATCCACTACCTTTCATCAGAGACTGAAAAAAATGTTTTTCCATGCTCTTCATCTGGCTTGACCTACTTTTGAGCTTCTCAAAGATACTTTCCCAGGCCACTTAAAGTGTTTTAATTGATTTTCTCACTAAATTTGAGAATTCTTGGTGGCTGGTTTGTGTCCCACTTGAAAAAAACAGTTCTAGACCTAGAATCCAGTAACATTCGCTATAATTACGGTATAAACTATTTTCGACAGTCATGTGGGTTTTATCGACAGATCGGTTTGTGGTGTACTGTATACAAAATGACAAAAATCTATATCTTCCTTCAATAGTTTGTGCATATAAACCTGCATTTCTCCTCTGGTCTCTCAGTCACTGAAGAAAGCTAGTGGATACTAGCTGAAACGTCTGACCGTTTCCAGAGTCATATCCAGTTGCTATTTGGCGTATCTTATTACCTGGATGTCCAACCTTCACCAATCTATCTTTCTATAATAATTATTGTATCAGGATAAACGTCTAACAAAGTTAGTGATTTTACCTTTCCCCTGACCGTTGTCTTCATGGGTGGCTACTGTTTCTGCTCTACTGCTCACTACTGACTACATTATACACAGTTCACTAAACATCCAACAGTCACATTACATTGGGAAAGACTCTAAAGAAATTTTCTATCAAAAGTACGTGTTTGAAGACTTTAAAAAGGTACCAGAAACACCTGTCCATTATAACATAAAGCCAGGCATTCTGTGCTAGCCTCTACCAGGCACTGCGGATCGCTGGACAAAATAGTAGAAATTTGTCCAAAATAAAGGGAATATAATAATACCAGAGGAGTTGGCCTTGGGTTGCAAATTGTCCCCTCTCGTGCCGGCCAAATTCCCTGGTTTAGTATCCCCTTTATTTTGGCAAATGTCTACTATTTTTCCAGCGATCCACAGTGCCTGGTAGAGGCTGTATTTTTGTGGAGGCAACGTTACCTTTGGTGGTGTGATCTTGAGTGAGCTGGAGGAACAGTTACTGACGGGGGAGAGGGTGTTACGCCCAGTCGGCTACAAAACACACAACACAGCACACAGCAAAGTTAGCACACAATAGCAGGACTCAAAATACTGTTTTTTTCATAGTACCTGAACCAGTGGGGCAACATTGAAAATTACCTGCACCAGACAAGTTTTACCTAGCCTCCTAACCTTACCCAGGCTTAAACTTTTACCTGCACCAGTCAGAATTTAGTAAGTGTGGATCGTACTAAAAACTGTTCAGAAACCTTTGCCACAGTTTCTTTTATACATCATACATGTAGGTGATACCAAACAATATAGCAAATAAAAAAGTATGGTGCAGTAAAAATATCTTTAAGCACACTGTTTCTCAAGGTGGCGATATTATGGACCCTGGTGATATTATGGACACATGTTAGTAATACATACAGTAAAGTTTTAACCCAATACATTGACTGGTGCAGGTAGACATCAAATATAAAAAAATACCTGCACAGCTAGCTGAACCAACTGCATATGCAGGTAGTAGTATTTTGAGCCCTGGTTAGTCACAGCAGCAGAAAGGTTGTGCCCACTCCCCTGCGTGTGTGTGCACAGGCTGGCAGCAGGCACAATACACAAGAGTGCTCGACCTCGGCGACAAGTGGACCAGCCATACACACAACACAACACGACGCTCTGTTTCAGCCACGACAAACCGGGGAACACGATCTGGTCTCAGGCCACACTAATTTTATTTGTTGGTTCTCGGATTAAGAAAGGAAAAATTGCTCGACTTGAAAATCAATATGAAAAGATTTTGTATCTATATTCTTGGTATACACAGTTCATGAGTACATATACTGTCAGTAATTCCTGATTTTTTCACTGTACTGTTATGTTCAGCTTTCACTGTTACTTCTGTATCGTGAACTTCATCATTACAGTTAACAAATAATTCCTGGACTCTCTTTCTCTACACCTGTCGCCACCGTGAACATATAGTTCCATGAAACTTTTGCTGCCATGAACATAAAGTGAATTACAGTAGCTAGGTACAAGTTTTGTTCTAGAAACTCTGCTTTCTTGTTGTTCTTTTCCTTCATTTCTTGAGACCCAAGGAATCGAATTGGTCCAGCTTGAGACAAGTTAAAACAGCAGATCACACAGGATAAATGCTTCATCGATCAGACGTCCAGACAACGTCGGGAACTCGACCCCCAAACAGTCGGTACTCACCATGCAAGCGTCCAAGAACCGGAATGCATCGTTTTCGGACACGAAGTTGAGTCCCCACGCTCCACCTGTGCACACAAAACAACACAGAAACATCCAGTCTTAATTGTTAGGTTACAAGTGAATACTCATTGAAATATTCTTGGCGTTAAAATGTTTTTGGCATATAGAACTAGTCATCACTACATACAACAACAAAATGATAATGAAAGTTATGTAGGACTTACTAGAAAATTTTAGTTCAAATTGCTGATTGTAAGAACTTATTGAGGTAAAAAATGTGGTCACTTTGAGACCAAATAAAACAATTTTTTGCTTCCCAAGGTAGTATCTAGTAAGGCCACACTTACTCAAATTGTTGAATTATTTCTTGATAGAAAAATAAAACTGAATTGGAAGGTCCTTTTCAAGGTCAACATCAAAATAGTTTAAGCCTGTACCTTGTTGATACACAGTTTGAGGAGTGAGCATACAAATCTATTCCTAGTCATCTGTTTTCATCTTGATTTCTCCCTGAATTAATTCTCTTAATATTTCAGAGAACTGACTTGAAGGGAAAAAAATTGGTGTGACCTAAATGTAACAAATGATGTTGAATATTTACCATTCATTTTGTCTCTCCATTGTACAAAGCTCTCAGCAGTCTTGTTAAACAGAGTTCCTGTGTGCATAGGTGGTAAAGGAGAATAAAATTGTTAGCCAAACTTTGCTATCATACATAGATACATGTACATGTGACTATTCTGTAATTACGTAACTTTGTATTGCAAAGTCATTCTTCAGCATTAAATGGCACAATGTTTGGAAGCTTTGTGTTCAAAAGTGATACCAGATGTAAAGTTTCACATGTTAGTCTATTTCAAACAACTTTATAATTACTTTCCTCCTTTTAATGGTGCACAATATACTTATACAAATGCTACATGTAGGTCTTAAAAAATTTTGTGCTTTTTCAAATTCGAAGTGAATGTAAGGTGACAGGTATTTCGCAACAAGCACGAGATTGTACAATATACAAACAATACTCTGCAGTTTGAAGTCACAGAAAGTCTACCATTCAGTATCAGCAAGGGAGGGGGCTCATAAGTACATGTACACTAACAGTACAGCAGTGTATGACTTTAGGTACAAATAATCTCCAAGTAGATGTTTTGGTGGCCACAAAAGACCAAATTGCCAGACAGTATCAAGTATCGGTGGCTAATACAGTAATGGACACTCCTCTGGCCAACGAATACTGCCTTGCCACCGCATGATCTGCTTGGTGATTAGGTACAAACAGAGTAAACCTTTTGTTTTACATTAATATCCATGCAAAGAGGACTGGTAAAGATATTAGGGGCACTTGTTTTCTCTACCTGGAACGGTTATCTGTACATCAAGCACGCGTTGGTCAGCGAAGTTGTTGGCGGTGATGTGGAACACGTGGAACGGCGCGTCCTGCAGACATTTCACCGTGACGGGGACGAGGGTGTCCGTCACACGCTTCCATCTCAGCGGACTGCTGTTAGACGAGACACGATACACCTCAGCCAGGAGCCTGAAAAAACAGGGAAACTTTAGTTAAAGTTTAGTCCCTACCAGACTAACTACGCTGGCGATATATAGCAAAATATTTGCCAGGGGAGTTTGTCGCCTTGTAGGTTTGACTGGCCGCTTCGGAGGTTAAAGAAACTACCTCCCCGCGGCCGGACTCCCTTGGCCAATTTTACTCTCTTTTTTGCCGAATTCTACGATCCGTATTCCGGTAGAAAGGCCTGGTGGAGGCTAGTTAAAGTTTAGTCCAAAACAAGTTCTGTTACTAGTAGTTCATTTGTGAATCTGAAGAAGCATGGTGGATGTCATTTGAAACGTGTGGTAATTTATTTAATAGTAGATACCGTTGTGAAGATCCAGTAGTGGAGTTTGAATTTCCTATTGTTTACTAACACTTTAACACTTTTTCCCCAATTCATATCAGACACTATAGTTATGATACTGATCTAAAACTTTCAACAGTTTCTAAAAGTAGACTAAGTAATACATGTGCCAATGACACAAAGTAACCCTGTCTGTCTGTGTGTTTTGATAGCCCAGAACTAGTAGTTATGCCCAGAACTAGTGATGCTACTGGTCTAAAACTCTCAACAATTTCTAATTATAGTAGAGTAATTATAGTAATAGATCTAAGCGAATTCTAAAAAAAAGTACCAATGACACAGAGTAACCCTGTCTGTGTGTTTTTGTGTGCAGAAACCACCTGTCTGTACGTCAATGTTGTGCCAGTGTCTGTTTTGTCACCCGATCTGTGATGGCAGCCGACCAGCTGTCAGTAACGCTCACTTACGCCACGCGATAGCTTGAGCCCAAACAAACCTGTGAGGCCCAGAGATCAAGGCCACAACACAGCATTGAAGTAGCCTCCTTCGCAGACTTGTAGGGTGTGGCGTTATTCTTGTTTGGTGAACGACGTGAGTTATGCCGCGGAGGGACGATTTTGCCGCCAAGTGAGTTTTGCTGGGGAGAAACGGTTTCGCTGCCCAACTAAACTCCCTTGGCGGCAAAATCGTCCCTCCGCACCCTACAAGTCTGTGAAGGAGGCTAGTGTTTCGGCAACCATAAAAACTTACCTTGTTCTCAGTCTACAACTCTACCTTCTACTAGAATTCAGCAGAAACTGGTCACTAGACCTCTTGGGCAAATCAACTATATGGTACCAATTGTCACTCTCCATATTTGGCTAAAATTTTACTTTTTTCAAACCAAAAGTTGTTGGTCTATTTAACCTCCTTGGGGAATTATAACTTTTAATTAACTTGAGACAAAACTCATGAAAATGAGTCTTGACATACCTTAGAAACTGCAATGAAATACTCTGAGATAGAAATCATGTCATAATATTGGATTTACATACTTACTAAATTACTTGGAGACTGAAAACTGTGAGTTCATGTCAGGTTTTTCCTTTGACTTGAGCATAAAGAAGAAAGTTTATCCACACACAAAGCGGCGTGCCCTCAATTTACCAAACTCTGCGTGGGGCAACACTGAGATCTTTTTAAGCGACTTCTTTAATTTTCCACCCTTCGGACAACAAACCGTCGCACACGAAGACTGGCGCCCTTGTTTGGGATAATCCTCGCTGAATGGAACAGTCTGAAGTTGATTACTGTCGTCCCTGGTAATTTTACTGAACCATCAAGCAGATACATGCATGGGGTCTGCTCTTGTTAGCCTCCACAGCACGCCAAAATCTGGGGGTCTTCAGGGTCTTTGGGAGCTTTTGATGTGCTATTTTCTGATTGCATATACTAAAGACAACATAGCCGGGCTGGTTGAATTACCCCCGTTTTTTTTAACTGGGCTAATCAGAAAACAGCCGAAGACCACCAGTTCTATAAGCCTGCTACGGGGGCTCGGTAATTTGATATACATTGTACTACTAATACTGAGTACTAACCCCCAAGCAGCTACATGTACATGGGTTTGGCTCTTTTATGACTTGTCTTCAACATCTTTTTGCTTGTTTTGAGCTTGTATTTGCCCAGTAACTTTGAGAAAAAAATAACAAAATTTCTGAAAAAGCACCAAAACCTGCCAAAAAAACTTCCAAAGTGGTGTATCAGGTTGGATATTACCTAAACACTTTGTGTAAAAATATCAACAAAGGATGTGTGACCCTGAAACCACAGGTGCTCTAGAGTTACAGACTGGACAAGCTAACCTACATTAGGCACTGACCTCCCACTAAGCAACACGTATGGGAAGGAAGAATCTATGTAGGCAGATGTAGGGGTTAATTATTCTCATTCTCTGTTTCTCTATTAATTCATTATGCCTGTTCCCACAACATTCATTCTGTATTTTTGTGCCGCCGTAATTTACATTTTTCATTGTCTAAAATTAACACTTATTTCTCCTTTGTAGGAAAGACTTTAAAAGTATATACATAATTTATACATACTAACACACACAGACACACACACACTTATGATACATGTAAGTTATGTAAAATACCATATCAGATAAAAAAAATAAGATACTGTACTAGAAAAGAGTACCAATGTTGAAAAAAAAAAGACAAAACAAAGAGAATGACCAGGAAATATCTGCTTGGAGATTAGACTAGACAGTTCAAATATTTTGTTGAAGAGAGATTGATGACAACTGCTTTGAATAACAATAAAGCAGACAAACAGACAAGTGTACAGAAACAGCAATTTGGTGTGATAATCCTGAGCAGATACACAAGAATAACTTTTAGCATGCATACATACCATGCATACTGTAGCATAGAAAAACTGTATAAAAAGTTAACTATTAGATATCAAATAAAAAATCAGAGCATTTTTTTCAGAAAAAAATACCAAATAACACAAGATAAAAATGTGGCAGGTGGTTGAAAAATTGATGTCTAATAGTAATCAGTTTGTGACACAGATACCTACTAACAGATACAGTGTACCTACAAAATAATGTGTATTGGACAGCTATTATAATATAATATATATGGGTTAGACAAACTATGAAGACACCTATTTTACTATGGGTCCCATTCTAAATTATTGACACGAACAAGTTATAAGTTAGTGTTCACTTCCAAAATAAATTTAGTGTGTGGCAGTTTATGCAGACAGTCTAAGTAGAAAACATTACACACAAACCTTGACCTGACATCTGTTTTGACTGTCTGCATATCTGACATAGTCTGACCTATAATTATAACATTATAATCCTATGATCCATTTACAGATATCCTCGACAAATAATGCAGCGATCATTTTCAACATATCAACAAACAGCTAAACTTTATGTAGTTATTACATGTCCGTTACACATTAAGTATGACAGTAAGACTTAAAGGGTAATACTGGAAAATACTGTAATTGTAGTACTACGTCTATTTTGGACAGACTAATAGCAAGCTATCTTCTGTATATTTTTTCCAGTTTCTCCTATTTTTCAGCAACCTAGAGTATGGTAGAGACTAACTTTGTATGAGTCTTCTTCTCAAAATCCCCTCCAACAAGTCCAAAAACTTACTTGGGAAATCTCTGCTAAGTGAACCCTATACTATAATTACACAGCCAGCTATAACTTCTGTATATTTTGCCAGTTTTCTCTTATTTTTCAGCTACAGCAACCTACTAGAGTTAGTATTATTGAGTCTTCTTAAAATCCCCTCCAACAAGTCCACAAACTTACTTGAGGAAGCTCTGTTTCCTGGTGAACCCGGCAAGTCTCTCAACTGCTGGGTGTGATGACACAAACCTTGAGACATTATTGTCTGGTAGACACTATCATTAGTAAAGTCTTCTTCTTAAATACCCCTCCAACAAGTCCAAAAACTCACTTGAGAAAGCTCTGTTTCCTAGTGAACCCGGCAAGTCTCTGTCCAGTAATTTCCGATGCCTGAATCCTCCTGCTGGGTGTGATCACAGTATAAACCTTCTCTCTGCTCCGTCTCCGTGACATAGACAGGGCCTTACGAACCTTCTTAAACATGGCTGACGCCTTTGTCTTACCAGAATTTCAAAAACAAAGGCAGGACAGAGACTAGAGTGTAAGCTATACCACCACCGATGCTGCACAGGCCATAGGAACTGTCTAAGATTTTAAATGTACACAAGCTTTTCGGTTCAGCCAATCAGAGCGCAGGCTTTGTCTACCGGCTGAGTGAGAGCTGGCCCCGCCCACCTCATTTGCATAAGAACAGCAAACTCGATTAGGTGCGAGGGAAGTAGGTCGTACCTGCTTGTGTAGTGACAACAGACGCTCTTTCTACCTGGTTTTCTCAATTTCTGGGTGTGAGGACTGCAGCAAGGTGTGAAATGGACTAAACAGGCTTCCAGACCCCAAAAGACAGAATTCTGTAGCCTCCATAGCATGCCAAAAACTGGGGGTCTGGGGGGTCTTCAGGGTCTTTGGGAGCTTTTATGTGCTATTTTCTGATTGCATATAGACAACATAGCCGGCCTGGTTGAGTTACCCTGTTTTTCTAGAACTGGGCTAATCAGAAAACAGCAAAAGACCCACCAAACCCCCAGTTCTATAAGCCTGCTATGGAGGCTAAGAATTCCACTACTACATAACAACCACATTTCAGAAAACAGCCGAAGACCACCAAACCCCAGTTCTATAAGCCTGCTACGGAGGCAGAAAACAGCCGAAGACTACCAAACCCCCAGTTCTATAAGCCTGCTACGGAGGCTAGGCATTTTACATACTAGTAACCTCCAAGTCCAAGCAGCTACATGGGTTTGGCTCTTTTATGACTTGTTATCAACATCTTTTTGCTTGTTTTGAGCTTCTATTTCAGTATTTGCCCAGTACAACTTTGAGAAAAAATAACAAAATCTCCGGAAAAGCATCAAAACCTGCCCAAAAAACTTCCAAAGTGGTGTATCAGGTTGGATATGACCTAAACACTGGGTGTAAAAATATCAACAAAGGGTCTGTGACCCTGAAACCACAGGTGCTCTAGAGTTACAGACTGGACAAGCTAACCTACATTAGGCACTGGCCTCCCACTAAGCAACAGGTATGGGGAGGCAGAATTGCCTTTGGGCAAGCAGATATTAGGGTTATTCTCATTCTCTGTGTTTTCTTTCCGTTGTTGTGCTACCGTAAATTTACATTTTATTACCTTAACTTAAACTAAAGGCTAAAGTTAACACTTTCATAAATTTCTACTTTGGGGGAAAGACTTTTAAAAGTATGGAAAAAAATGTGCACATATGCATGCGCGCACACACACACACACACACACACATGTATGCACAATACCATGTCAGATAAAAAAAATAAAATCATACTGTACTAAAAAGAGTACCAATGTTGCAAAAACAGTTATTACATTGTAGAATGAGCTGCATTCTTACATCTGCTTGGAGACTTGGAGATTAGGCTATGGCTAGATAGTTCAAATATTTTGGTAAAGAGAGATCAATGACAACTGCTTTGAATAACAATTACCAGACAAGTGTACAGAAACAACAATTTGGTGTGATAATCCTGATCAGATACACAAGAATAACTTTTAGCATGCATACATACATGTACCATGCATACTGTAGCATAGAAAAACTGTATAGAAAGTTAAACTATTGGACATCGAATGGTAAAATCAGAACATTTTTTCAGAAAAAAATACCAAATTACACAAGATAAAAAATGGCAGGTGGTTGAAAAATTGATATCTTATAAGTAATCGGTTTGTCACACAGATACCTACTAACAGATACAACTATACTTACAAATGTGTATTGGGCAGCTATCATAATATATGTATATGGGTTAGACAAGCTACATGTACATGCATGAAGACACCTATTTTACTACGGGTCCCATTCTAAATCATTGACATTCAAGTACTAGGATCAAGTTTAGTGTTTACTTCCAAAATAAATTTAGGGGCAGTTTATGCAGACAGTCTAAGTAAAGAAAACAACCCACAAAGTTGACAAACCTTGACCTGACATCTGTTTTGACTGTCAGCATATCTGACATACTCACATAGTCTGGTCTATAATTATAACATTGTAATCCTATTTACAGATATAATCCTCAAGGCAAATAATGTAGTGATCATTTAGTAACCTTCAACACATCAACAAACAGGTATTATTATAGTAAACTTTACATGCCTGTTACACATTAAGTATGACAGTAAAACTAAAGGGTATTATATACTGGAAAATACTGTCATTGTAGTACTACGTCTATTTTGGACAGACTAATACTAGTAATAGCAAGCTATCTTCTGACTAGTGTATATTTTTCCAGTTTCTCCTATTTTTCAGCAACCTGCTAGAGTCTAGTAGAGACTATTACTTACATAATACTCAGAGTCTTGTTCTTAAATATTATACCCAACAAACCCCAAAACTTACTAGTACTTGAGGAATCTCTGTTTCCTAGTGAACCCTGTACTATAAAGTATAATTATACAGCCAGCTATAACTTCTGTATATTTGGCCAGTTTTCTCCTACTTTTCAGCCTTACCTACTACAGCAACCTACTAGAGTTAGTAGTAGTGCGTCTTGTTCTTAAAATACCCTCCAGCAACCTAAAAACTTACGTGAGAAAGCTCTGTTTCCTTGTGAACCCAGCAAGTCTCTTAACTGCTGGGTGTGATGACACAAACCTTGAGACATTATTGTCTGGTAGACACTATCATTAGTAAAGTCTTCTTCTTAAATACCCCTCCAACAAATCCAAAAACTTACTTGAGGAAGCTCTGTTTCCTAGTGAACCCTGTACTATAATTATACAGCCAGCTATAACTTCTGTATATTTGGCCAATTTTCTACAGTTTACTACAGTAACCTACTAGAGTTAGTATTAGTAAAGTCTTCTTCTTAAATACCCCTCCAACAAGTCCAAAAACTCACTTGAGAAAGCTCTGTTTCCTTGTGAACCCAGCAAGTCTCTCAACTGCTGGGTGTGATGACACAAACCTTGAGACATTATTGTCTGGTAGACACTATCATTAGTAAAGTCTTCTTCTTAAATACCCCTCCAACAAATCCAAAAACTCACTTGAGGAAGCTCTGTTTCCTAGTGAATCCAGCAAGCCTCAGTCCGGTAATTTCCGACGCCTGTATCCGCCTGCTCGGTGTGATCACAGTATAAACCTTCTCTCTACTCCGTCTCCGTGACATAGACAGGGCCTTACGAACCTTCTTAAACATGGCTGACGCCTTTGTCTTATCAGAATTTCAAAAACAAAGGCAGGACAGAGACTAGAGTGTAAGCTATACCACCACCGATGCTGCACAGGCCATAGGAACTGTCTAAGATTTAAATGTACACAAGCTTTTCGGTTTGGCCAATCAGAGCGCAGGCTTTGTCTACCGGGCGAGTGAGAGCTGGCCCCGCCCACCTCATTTGCATAAGAACAGCAAACTCGATTAGGTGCAACGGAAGTAGGTCGTACCTGCTTGTGTAGTGACAACAGACGCTCTTTCTACCTGGTTTTCTCAACTTCTGGGTGTGAAGAGTGCAGCAAGGTGTGAAATGGACTAAAAAGCCTTCCAGACCCCAAAAGACAGAATTCTGTAGCCTCCATAGCATGCCAAAAACTGGGGGTCTTCAGGGTCTTTGGGAGCTTTTATGTGCTATTTTCTGATTGCATATAGACAACATAGCCGGCCTGGTTGAGTTACCCTGTTTTTCTAGAACTGGGCTAATCAGAAAACAGCAAAAGACCCACCAAAGCCCCAGTTCTATAAGCCTGCTACGGAGGCTAATCAGAAAACAGCCAAAGACCACCAAACCCCCAGTTCTATAAGCCTGCTACGGAGGCTAATCAGAAAACAGCCAAAGACCCACCAAAGCCCCAGTTCTATAAGCCTGATACGGAGACTAAGAATTCCACTAAAATAAGACTTAGACTACATAACAACCACATCAGAACCTAGCTTATGTCAACCACAAGAGAATGAGATTGAAAGCAGATTGTAAGATTTTCCACAGCACGTTAATTCCTATAGGAGGATTTGTACTCTTACATATAACTTACATGTTGATTAATTGAATTCCGTTAGGCTACACCGATGAAGATTAAACGAGGACCCCTATCATGTGTAATCAGAACTGCAGCTGCACATGCATGTTAGCATTTGACTAATGTTTAATGTTGTTGTTGGTAGGGAAACAAGCACTTTGTAGGTTCTGTTCCACTTCTAGAATTCCTGGAGTCAATATTTAATCAGGGCACCAGTTTAGCACCAGAGTGTGGGCTATGTTGACTTGTTTGCCATATGGCACAGAGGGTATGTTAGGGGTATAAGAGAAACCTAATTCCTGAATGAAATTCAAAAGCAGTCCCAAGTTTTTGCAGATACAGGCTAAAGAAATTGAAAATATGTTACACAAAAATCTATCATTGTGTCATGATTTTTGTCCTTTTGATCTTGTAGCTTGTTCATTACACATTTTCTCTGTGTATTGTGATCCCTGTGCAATGTTTGCTATCTGTTAGCACTATGGTACGACACTGTTTGCACCTATGTTAAGCTATACCGGGTAGCTCAAATACTCCTCTGCACCCTCATGATATTTCTGTTTCCGAAATGTTAAATGTTAAATGTTATCCTCTTCTAACAGAAGCCCTCAGTTTCTTGACCAAAGATGAAAAAAGTCTGAAATAGACTCCTTCAAAAGCTCTAATTCTTATCACATTAGTAACTTCATATTCCAATTTCTAGTATCAAATCTTGCACTGAACTAACTGTGTAGGATCCAAATAAAGGCAATATACAAGTTATCTAAAAAGCGGTTGGTACAATACGTATTGGTCCGACTCGATGTTCCAAATTTAAAAACAACAAACCCAGTTAAAGGGAAACCAATAACAGAAACGTGTAAGGTACTCGTCATACACTTCAATGCACATGATACTTCATCTACATGTATTATAAAATGCTCACCTCACTAAGAAGTCATCTCTGCACTTCTCTGAACCTAATGTCTTCCTCCCATACTTCCAAAGCATTTCTACTACAGAGAGTAGTCTCTACTCACTATTGGTCGATGTTCCAAATTTAAAAACAACAAACCCAGTTAAAGGGAAACCAAAAACAGACACGTGTAAGGTACTCACAACTA